TGACCTCAGGTGATCTGCCCGCCTTGGCCTCCCAAAGTGCTGGGATTACAGCCATGAGCCACTGTGCCTGGCATAACATTTTACTTTACTAGCTACAGTGTTAAAAGATATCATGGGGATGGGGAGGAGGGAGGTGGCAGTGAAAATAAATATCTTAAAAAATGATTCTTAACGAGAATAAAGCAACTCGTACAGTCAGGAAATATTTTATAATCTAATCCCAATTTTAAAAGTAATGCTGGCTGGATATGGTGGCTCACACCTGTAATCCCAGCACTTTGGGAGGCCAAGGATGGAGGGTTGCTTGAGCCCAGGAGTTCAAGACCCCAGCTCTGGCAACATAGTGAGACTGTCTCTACAAAAACTAAAAAAATAAATTAGCCAGGCATGGTGGCAGGTGACTGTAGACCCAGCTACTTGGGAGGCTACAGTAGGAGCATCTTTTGAGCCTGGAAAACTGAGGCTGTAGTGAGCCATGGTTTTGCCACTATACTCTAGGCAACAGAGTGAGATCCTGTCTCTCAAAATACAAATATATAAATAAAGCTAATGCAAAAACATTGGCCCATCATAGTTCTTCCCACCCCACAATCCCAGTGCTCCCTCCCCTACCTAACAGCATCTGACATATTATATATCTTTATTTTAGTTTTTAGTTCACTCTATGCGGCAAAACATTAAAAAGTATCTGAAACCCGATATGTTGGTCAATAAATGTTTGTTATTGAATAAATATTACTACCATCAGATTCTCCTCTCTTCATATTTATTCCAAATTTATTCCTTTGAATCCTTAAGGAGACCGGGTGGATAAAGGAGTGCACCTCACTAAGCTCCGTTGGGTTCTTCTAAGGGCTTTGTTGTCCTATACTCACTTCATAGTCAAAAGATACTGTCACCTTAGAAGTCTGAGGGAAAAAAATGTGGATTCAAGGTGAAACCCTGCGGCACAGTAGGTCCAGATGGCCTTAACTTTGAAAAGAACAAAGTTTCACCAAGCTACCTCTCCTAGTTTTCTCCCCTCTCCCCACAAAAAAAGGTAGAAATTGCTGCCTCCCTACTGAGAGGCTGATCTTTAAAAAAAAAAAAAAAAAAAAAATAAAAAAACAACATAAAAAAAAAAAAAAAAAAAAATCTTTAAAAAAAAAAAAAAAAAAAAAGTTACAGTGTCTGTGAGTCTGAAAATAGGGAGCTCCCTGCTATTTAGTTACCGAAGAAAGTGCTTGCGTTTACCCACTGGACAGCCCAACTCCACTGTGTCACCTTGTAAATCTGGTATTTGGCCTGCAGTCCATCTAAAGTTAGGCTGCACATTCACTTACTGTTAAGTGTCTAACTGACCTCAATTGGTGATAGGTGAATCCCACCAGGCTTTTTTCTATCCTGTGATGTCTAGTTCCTGTTTTAATCTAGCTTCCCAAGCTCATCCTAGAGGGACTTAGTTTATCCTAGGGAATTTATAAAGGAAATCATGAGAAATCAAAACTTACCATAAACATTTATTGGGAAATGACTGTTAATTATGAGGTTCTTTTTTGTTATCTCTTATATATTGTTGCTTCATCATCATTTGTCCACTCTTGTTTCAGTGTTTGGAACAGTTCTTTCAACTTAAAATTTTAAGGAAATCTTAAATAATGGATGCTTCTGCATCAAATGATTTGTTTTACTATATTTCAATAATTTCTGATAGTATGATGGGAAAATAATTCTCTAAAAGATACTGAGAATTCATTTTCAAAATTATTCTAAGTTATTTAGCAAATATTTAATGGCCTTTCTTGCTTAGGACGAAGGTATCATAATCATCAGCTTTGTGAGCTTTTCTGTTTACCAATGGCCAGTGGAAGTTTTAGGCTTTATACATACCAGTGAACTCTTTGAAAGGTCAAGATACATGTAGGCAAGTGTATTTATCCAGAAGTTGATATATATATTTTCTGATTTCTTACAGATTATATCGAAAAGAAGTTCTAGAGAAATTAATAGAAAAATGTGTTTCTAAAGGCTACGTCTTCCAGATGGAGATGATTGTTCGGGCAAGACAGTTGAATTATACTATTGGTGAGGTATGCAACTGATGCTAAATAGTATGTCATGTTCCTGGTAAAGGAGCAGTAAAGTTTAGACTTTTTGTAATAAAAAGTTTAACTTCATAACTGCTAAATTGTGGAGGTCTTCTGGTTGTTTAGAATGTTCATGCACAAAGGGTAAAAATTCACATTAGTACATTTGAACAATAAGATTTAAAACATTAACAGTTGGCCAGGCGCGGTGGCTCACGCCTGTAATCCCAGCACTTTGGGATGCCGAGGCGGGTGGATCACAAGATCAAGAGATCGAGACCATCCTGGTCAACATGGTGAAACCCCGTCTCTACTAAAAATACAAAAAACATTAGCTGGGCATGGTGGTGCGTGCCTGTAATCCCACCTACTCAGGAGGTTGAGGCAGGAGAATTGCCTGAACCCAGGAGGCGGAGGTTGTGGTGAGCCGAGATCACGCCATTGCACTCCAGCCTGGGTAGCAAGCTCCGTCTCAAAAAAAAAAAAAAAAACATTAACAGTTAGCATTGTCTTTTAAATAATGGAAAGTTCCTGGTACTTTCTCAATCCTAGCCTTCCTTCTAACTGGTCAGCATTATGGACTGAGTCTCTCTGCTTTTCCTTTTGCCACAGCCAGTGTCCACCATACTTTAAAATGAATGACGAATCCCTTATGTCCATTTCCTGTAAGTGAAGACCAGGAATTATAGAGCCAAGGGAGTGGTGATCTGTAATACTTAGGGCTAGCTAGTGAGCTCTTAGGGTAGGGAAGACTCTCCTCATTTACTAGTAAAACTGTTATTCATAGCAAGAAACTAGCTAATCTGAAATGTCACTTCTCCCATGGAAGTTGCAAGATGTTTTACTTAATGCTAAGCTGTTATAGCTACATTTGACAAACAACTGAAAAATCTAAGCAAAAGGCCATTTTACTTTTGAAGTATAATTTTTCTTTGAAATGCAAACTGAAACTTGAGTAAACCAAGGTAATACCTAGGATCAGTGCTTTTTAAACAGTTGTAGATTGGTTCATATGACCTATCTTTAGATGATGCGCTTAATTTTAAAGACTTGGAGATACACATAGTTGCTTTAAGAATCCCCTAATTTTATAGTTACTTTAAGGACTTCTGTTGTAGGACTAGTCCGAATTCTGTTGTGTTGGTAATATGGTATACCTGCTAAGCTACCTAATTTTTTTTGAAGACTGACTTTAACGTATTTTTTTTTTTTTTAACTAGGTTCCAATATCATTTGTGGATCGTGTTTATGGTGAATCCAAGTTGGGAGGAAATGAAATAATATCTTTCTTGAGAGGATTATTGACTCTTTTTGCTACTACATAAAAGAAAGATAATCATTTATACTTATGTTCATTTCAATTTAAACATGAAAGAAGCCTGGTTACTGATTTTGATAAAATGTACTCTTAAAGTATAAACCATAAGGTAAGGTAAACTTCACACATCTTTTTTATGAAGAACTTCTATTTTATATTTCAGATTAAGTAATTTTAAAGTTGCTGGCCTAATGAGCAATGCTCTCAATTTTCATTTACATTTTGCTGTATTAAGACCTATAAATAAATGTATATATATATATATTTTTTTTTTTTTTTGCATAAAGTATTGCTGCTTTCATTAGAGTATGTGAATGTAGAATTTTTTAACACGGAGAATAATTTGAAATATTCTTTATAAATACTGGAATCATAAATCTTTATACCTAATAGATGTCAGAAGTAAGATAATGTTAACTGATGAAATGTTTATGGCTATATCATGGCTGTATCTGTATGATCTGTAAAAGAAATACACACCTCTGCCCTTTCCTTAAAAATGCATCTCAAATTTCTTAAACTAGAAAATACATTCAAAACAGGCTTTTAGAATTGGATTCTTTTCAGCTGTTGAATTGATGAAGCATCTCATCTACCAAAGCAAGTGTATTTAAAATGCATATTGTGAATTGGGAAACAATTTGGCAGCAGTTGATTACATAGCCGTATTTTTCTCTTTTGAGCAGTAACCTCCATCAGTACTGAAAAGTATTAATGACGCTGAGGCAGAAACATAGCTGCTACAGTAATTTTTAAACATCTTACTGAATTATGTAACAATTTGTTTCTTGCTCTCTTTTTTTTTTAAAGATGGAGCCCTGCTCTGTCTCCCAGGCTGGAGTGCAGTGGCGCCATCTCAGCTCACTGCAACCTCCGCCTGTCGGGTTCAAGTGATTCTCCTGCCTTAGCCTCACAAGTAGCTAGGATTACAGACATACGCCACCTTGCCCAGCTAACTTTTCTTTTTTTTTAAATAGAGACGGGGTTTCACCGTGTTGGCCAGGATCACCTCGATATCCTGACCTCGTGATCCAGCCGCCTTGGCCTCCCAAAGTGCTGGGATTAGAGGTGCGAGCCACCAAGCCCAGTGCAACAATTTTTTTCTCAAAAGAATTGTTTTCATATTATTTGAAGACCCTCAGCAAAGCTCACATCTCTACTAATATGAAAAATCTCTTCCTTAAGTACTTCTCTCCATTTAGAAAAGTGTTCTACCAGTTAATATACAAGCTAAGCTATCCAATAAAGCCAGGGCTAATACTGTGTTTATCTACTCTCTCTAAGTATTTCAGAAGACATCAGTTAATTTCTAACTGTAGCACAGGTTATGGATCATGTAGTATCTTTTAAAATCTGAGTAAGGGCATGCTTTGAGCAAATAAGTTTAAGTTGACTTTCTTTTGCAAATAAAAGGTGTCTCTAAATTATTTATTGAATAATATTCCTGATTACTACACTTTCCTGGCTTAATTTGGCTGCTGAAGAAATTGAGGCCAGGTACAGTGGCTCATGTCTATAATCCCAGCACTTTGGGAGTCCAGGGCAAGAGGACAGCTTGAGCCACAGGTGTTGGAGACCAGCCTGGGGAACAGAGGGAGATCCTGTCTCTACAAAAAATAAAAAAAAATTAGCTGGGTGTGGTGGCACTCACCTGTGGTCCCAGCTACTTGGGAAGCTGAGGTGGGAGGTTCACTTGAGTCTGAGAGGTCAAGGCTGCAGTGACCTGTGATCATTCCTGGACAGCAGAGTGAGACCCTGTCTTTTTTTAAAAGAAAAGAATAGAAAAATTGAAAGTCTAATTTTTTATTTGCATTTCTTTCTGACAGATTCTACCAGAAATGAACCCCAGACTATAAAACCTGTGGTGTCATTTCAAACATTAAAACCTCCCACACTTCTGTAGTTGAACCCGTAATACACATTCCAATAAGGACCACTACTGTTTTCCTTTTGTCCAGAACTGACCAGCTGTCCAATGAGGGACCTGCCTTCCTTGGGGAAGAGATTTCTCATTAATAACAACAAGAAAATTCATTAGTGCTTGATGTGCAATTAGTTTTAAGCTAAGATAATAGAAATGTAATATTCTCAGTTTTTTTGGGGGAGTGATTAGAATTTATTCTTCTTAACCTAAACTCAGAGTTAAGTTCTCAGTGTCAAGTATGTGGAGCAGAAATTAAGTAACCACCTTAGAGAACCTAATACACAATACTGCCTTCTCAGATCTCACTAGAGTAGATGTTTGCTCTTTAAATCTTTTCATTTGTTATTCCCACAGTCATTACAACACTGTCACTCTTAGAATTTACTTAGAGTATTTGAGCAGTGAAGACTCATAGCATTTGGAAGTCATTTAGAAAAGAATCTGGACTATTTAGATGCATTTTTGTAGTAAATCTGGTGCTCAAACACTGTAAAATTAAACATTTACATCTGAATCCAGCATCCTATTTTGCTTTGTAAATGAGGCCAAAGATGAAATCCAGATGTTTTTCCTTTGTATTTGTATTATCACTGTATGGAATCTAAGTATATCTAAGGAAAACTAAACTTAAACTTACTTTGCTTATTTCATATTAGTTTTTGTCTGTTTTCTGCAGTATGTAATTAGATTATCTTTGGTTCTTTGAATCAAATGCTTTGCCCCAACCCCTTTTTCCACGACATTTTTCAGCTGTTTTCCCTTGAAATACTGACTTAAAATATTTTTTAAAGCTATTTTATCACAATTGCAGAAATGTGTTGTATGAAAGTTTTTTAAACAGGGCTAACTGAAGTCTTAGACGTTGAGCAGCTATGTGTAACCACAGTTTATATTACTTGCAACGAAGTCAGATTATTTTCGGATGTTAACTATGGCTTAAAAGTATGTTAACTTGAAATGTAAAGAAACAGCAAAAGACAGGTGTATTTACAAATCACATATTAAGGAAACAGGCTTGGTTAATTCTTCACCATTGACATCTATTATTTGCTAGTACATTTAACCAATCATGATACTTTAACGAACCTACTTTAAAAGGTTGGTTCAGAAATGTTGAGGAAATAATGTATTGGTTGGGTTTGACCTAAATTTACAATGTAACCATGTGCTGTCTTACACTACCCAGATTGTGGGCGCACCAAAAGTTATGTCCCTAGGACTACAAGGTGTGTTGTTTAAGGATCTTGCAGACAGCCAATGCCCCCATTGGCAACATCACTTCTCATGCTGAAGTTTCACCAGTTGGGAGGCCTCAAGGCACCAAGATTCCCATTTTTTAAATTCAGGTCAAAGAGAAGAGTCCAACACTGTGACTGGGAAGAATGGCAAGTCACAGGGTAACGGCGAACCTTAATAAAATTCGACCCCTCTGCACCCAACACCCCACCAGGAAGGGCTCAGGCAGCCTAGGGGTTGTGTCTCATCCCAAGTCGCTGTGTGAAGCACGAGGCCCTCACACCTCATTTAAGGCAGGAGGCGTCAGGGGCGACCGGCCAGGTGTTCCGGCGCCTTGCCACCGCTTCTCAGGCGTGGAGGAAGCGCGGGCCTCCGAGCACGTGGAGCCGCCCCGGGCCGCCCTGCACACCCCTCCCCGCCAGATGTAGTCCAGGCCCAGCTGGGCCCGCGCAGGGATCCCCAGCACGGCCACCTGACTGAGTGCTGGGCGTGCTGCGGCCCGCTGCTTCTGCCTCCGCCGCCGGCGCTGCGGCCAGAGGAAGGCGCCCGCCGAGCACACGGGCCCTGGGAGCGCACTGCGGCCATTATCCACGGCGCCTCCTAGTGGGTCAATGGTAAATCCGCCTGGTTCTCGCGAGAGCTCCCCCCTCAGTGGGGATTATATAATTTCCCTCAGGCGGGGGTGGGGGTTCTGAGAGCACCCTCTCTCAGGAAAAGTTAGGTGGAAGCCCAGGTGGGACTAAGAGGGACCCCCCTGGGGGAAAGGGGGTCAGGGGTGCTGTCCCCACTGCCCCCCCCACTTAGCTGGACAATGAGTCCTCTTATGCTAATGAGGCACTTACGTCACTTCCTCTCTTTCTCGGCCGCCATTTTGGCTAGGGCAGGTTCGGGGACTCGGTCCGAGGCGCTTGTATTGTCTGCTGAGGGGAGACGCGGGATCAGCCCCCCTCCCCCGCCTGTTGCCGCCGCCGCCTCCGCTGGCCCGGTCTCCCCTCCGCCGCCCGCCGGGATCCATGAGCTGAACTCCCGCCCCCCCAGCCGCCGCCATCTTGTGCCCCCTCCCACTCCCGCAGGCAGCGCTAAGGGGGATTTTGGCGTCTTCTCAGACACAGCTCCCTCTCTCGGTCCGCGCTGCTGAGGAGCGAGAGGAGCGCGGCCGCCGCCGCCCGCGCCGGTGAAGCCGCCTCTCCCACACCCTCCGTCTCCTCCCTCCGCCCCTCCTTTGTCTGCACCGCTCGACGACGCCGCCGCCGCCCGCCGCTCTGCTGCGCCCGCCGCGCCCCCCGGCAGCACCCGCGGCCGCGGCGCGAGCCGGAGCCCGCCGAGCCGGAGCGCGACGAGGCCCCGGGCGCGCCCTCCCCGCTGCCGCCACCGCCGTGCCGCCGCCATCCGCCCGCCGCCGCCGCCGCCGTCCGGCCCCCGAGCACGCCGGCCCCGCGCGCGCCTTGAGGCCGAGTCAAGGTAAGCCTGGCGCCGCCGCGCGCGGACCCGCGGCCCTGCCCTGCCTCCCGACCCCGGCCCGCGCGGCCGTCCGCCCAGCCCGGCCCCGGGCGCGGGCGCATTGTTGTTCGCATCGCCGCCCTCCAGCCGCACACACGCTTCTTTGCACACCCCGGCGCCGACGGGCCGCCAGTCCCGGCACGGACCGCTACCCGGCTCTGCTCTGGAGGTCCAGGCGCCTCCTCCTGCAGCCCGACCCCCTTCTCCGCCCCGTGAGCCCACCGAGGCCAGCAGCCAGCCTGGCTGCCGGGAGCTTTTGCAGCTAATGGCATCTCCCCCACCCCGCCCCCAGCCTGAACCTAGCTTCTCCCATCCCTAGAACTAATCCCATCCGCCCCCCACCCCCAAAAGGAGCCCCCCCCACGCACACTCCCATGCCTGGAACGAGCCTTCTGCCAGGTCTACCCACCCTTAGCTGGGGGAGGGAGGACGGGGTTGGGGGGCCGGGGAGCGTGCATGGCACGGAGTGAAAGTCTTTGCCTCCACTGTGCAATCCTTCCTTCCCAACCTGCCAGCTTCCCTCCTGTCCTGACCACAGTCTACCAGCCGTCCTTTTTCCCAATCTCAGCTGCCTGGTCAGCACCTCTTTCGAACATTCTGAGCCCTAACTTTGCAGTAAGGTGGTAGAAAATGGAAATCCGGAAAGCTGCAAAAAGATTTTCTCGTAATGAATGGGGAGTAGTTTGGGGAGCACCCTCTTATTCACCTCTTCTTTCCTCTGGGCTGCTTGCCTGCCTTCCCCTCCCCCCCAACCTTGATCCCTGTCTGCTGGAAAAGGCGCGATTGCTTCTCTTCCTCTTCTGCCCAAGGCAAGACTCTAGATCTGATACCTTTTTAGCCACACACCCCACACACACACACACACACACGCGAAGTCTTCTTAATGTTTTTGCATTCACCAGTTTCTCTGGACACTTCTTGCCATAACCCCATTTTACAGACAAAGGCTTAGGAGGGAAAAAACCAAACTGTTTCCTGTGTTTGCCATGTTAATGCTGTCCATCCCACACACCCAGTTCCCATCCCTGATGCTTCTTGTGCCTGTGTCTTGAACCTTCAGAATGGCAAGAAAAAAAAGAATCTCTTGGATAGCTTGATACAGTTTCTTTAGAAATCTGCATTGTTGCTTCTGGTTTATGGCCATGGAGAAAATACCAGCCCCCACCCAAAATGCACCGCAGCCAAGTCGGCTAAAGGCGATGAGTGTTGGAGTCAGTAGGGGGCGCATTCTCTGCACTGGGTAAGGCTGCAGAGGGGGGAAGGGCCCCCGAGCTAGAACAGGATGTGCTTCACAGCGCCTTCTACAGACCATGGGAAAATGGGCCCAGCAAGTCACACTCGCACTTAGTTGGTGAGCTGACAGCAACATGGCGAAGGATTAAGTGAGTCAAGAGCAGTGATTTTACTTCTTTTAAAGAGCCCACCCTGCATTTTAGAAGTTTGCTCTTTTTACTTTTTCAAAACTGTTGGCCCTCAGACAGCCCAGATTTGTTCTTGACGAATCACCTTGGCACATCCTTGGTTCGGATTCCCTTTCTCTAGAATAACATTTTGAATGTGTCACCATAAGTCTGGTGGTAAAGGGGAAGGTTTGAAACCTGAAAGTAACAGGTTTGGGGGCATTGCTGATTAACTCCCTTCATCATAGCCCAAATCTTTCCAGTTCTTTGAGAGGTAAAAATCATTCTTGAGAGATGATGGATTTTTGTGGGGTAGTAATTTTTATAAGTGAGAAGATGGGTGTCATGATTTGCAAAGCCTTGTTGGTAAACATCAAGCCCATGTTGGGTTCTTCATTGTCAAACTCAACAGTGTTGATTGTAAAAATTTTGTTTCCCTCCAAAATTGGACTTGTAATTGCCATTCATTATCTCAGCAGCCAACCACCTTTACCAAAATGTTGATACCAGTCTTCTGTGAGCACCCACCTTCTTAGGGTGTGTTGATTTCTATAGATTTTACTCCTCTTGTTATTTCCATAGGTGTGAGATGCACAATGCGAAACCTAGGCCCCAGCTTTTACACCATGATGCGCAGGGTTGTACTTTTTGTACTGAACTGATAGGTGGCCTAGTGGTTATGCCCTGTACTACCATTTTGAGGATCTGGACTCCGTTTCCTGCCTTGCTCTTTGGACCACATTGTCAATTCACACCGGTGGGTATATTCATTTTGGAGGGTGGGAACTTCAGCAACAGGGAAGCCAGAGACTTCTTCCTCCTTGGTCACCACCAAAGCCAACACTTCCAAAATTTCAGCCTAGCCACATTCTTCAAGGAACCGGTTAGAGCTGTTGCAGTAGTGGGTTCTGAACACTTATTAACATAAGAAATGACTTACAGCTTCTTGAAGAGAAATTTTTACAGATGATGATATTGTTGTAATCATTTGTATTCTACACCCTTGTGTATAAACTGTTAGGTATTCAGTTACCATTACTTTGATGACCCAATTTCCAAGCTTCTAAAAGCCTTAAATATCTGATGAAAACATGCTTTACCATGAACTTGTTCTTGTTACCAACGATTGACAGTGGTTGGTGTTTGTGGATACCTTTAAGACTTTGTTAGAAATGTCTTAGGTAAATACACCAAGTAAGTTTATGGGGAACTGAATGGGTGTATTCTTTGATACCTAGTTAACCAGTTGGTGCTTAACAGGACAATTTTTCATTGGAGAATTGCTACCTATTAACGTTTTGGTGAGTGAAAAGGAGGCCCTTTGGTACAGGTAGTTGACTAGAGGCTACATTGCTTTTACAATTTTTTAGTAATTGTAAAAAATGAGATATTTAAATGGGATTATTTTAATTTTTAAATACTGTGTAGTATGTGTAGACAGAGTTTTTATCTTTATTTGGTGTTTTATATACAGTTACTTAAGTTCTAATAATGAGCATATAATTTGAAGACAACTTATTTGAGGGAATGTTGGAGATGAAGTTTGTGGAGGGGCTTTTGTTTAGCAAAGGAGATACAGTGTTGAATGATGTCCTAAGTGGTAACAGCCATTTTCCCTTAAAGGAAGACTTGCTGTGAGCTCTTAGAAAGCACGTATTCTACAGTTTCAAAGGTTTCTTGGTTTTAACACTCAAAAAATAAGGTGAGGTCAGGTGAGGTAGCTCACGCCTATAATCCCAAAGCTTTGGGAGGCTGAAGCAGGAGGATCACTTGAGGCCAGGAGTTCAAGACCAGCCTGGGCAACATAATGAGACTTCATCTCTACCAAAAAAAAAAAAAAAAAAAAGGTGAAACAATTGGACTTGAAGACTGGAATTTATAGTAGGTAAACTGTATACTTATTAAAGTATAGTAAAAGGCTCAACTAGAGTGTGGGAATGGGTAGTCTGTGCAACTGAACTTTAGGTAGAAATTCCTTCTTTATCTTGGCCTTTGTCGAAAAATATCCTGAGACTGCCTTACCAGAAGCTGCTATATATTGAAATTAACTTCTTTGATTTTGGTTCTTTTGTGGGGGGGGGGACTCTTCCCTCCCCCTTGATTTTGGTTCTTACAGTCCCTGTATAGAAAATATAAGAGATGGGGCTGAAACTCTTAATGCCCCTAGCACTGCCAACCTTGGAAGTCATTGATTTTAGATATTACCACTGTTAATTTGCTTTGCTTTGCTTAAGTTTATCTTTTTCTCCTTATACCAGAGTGCAGGAAGAGTTTTAATACTATTTATATTAAAATGAGAACTTTGCCATACTAAACAGGTTGTTTTGGTACCACTTGCAAGTATGCAACAGATAGGCTTTTATCAGGCCACAATGGCTTATTATTTATATTCGATTATTAAATAAGGCATACTATGTGTGAAGTTGTTGCTTTCCTTGTAACTACTTAAAAGTTTTTTGTTTTTGTTTTGTTTTTTAATTTTAAAGACGGGGTTTCACCATGTTGGTCAGGCTGGTCTTGAACTCCGTACCTCAGGTGATCCACCTGCCTTGGCCTCCAGAGTGCTTGGATTACAGGCGTGAGCCACCACGCCAGGCCCTAAAAGTTTTGAAAGGATTAAAAACGTTAGTGTTTTGAAAACTGAAATATTCAGCAGTATATTAGTTGAATGAGATGATGTTGGCTACAAGTTTTATTGTGAAATTTGCCACTTAAGGAAGATAGAGCTGTTTTGTTATACAGGAGAAAGTAGGGATTGATATTTCACAGGGTAGAAAAGAGAAAAGAAAAACTTCAGAAATTGTCTTTTTTCCTTTGAGAATCATGTATAAGTAACAAAACTGCAATAATTGAAGTAGACCTCAGCCAATTGATTTCATAATTGGGGCGCGTGTGTGTGTGTGTGTACACACATACACATAGAATAGAGTTGGGTTTTCTAGAGCTGGAAATGGTTATCATATTGTTAAATACAAATGAAAAGTTCAAGTATCAGAGGTGTAGTTTGGGGAAAATACATTTAGTTTTTAGATATTATTTGGGGACAATACATCTAAGTGTAGTAAAAAACATACCAGAATTAAACTTTATATACTTTTTTCCAAGTAACCTATTTAAATCTTAGTGAAATAAAGATTTTTTAAATGATATGAAAGATAAATAATCGAAATTTTTATTTTGTAAGGTTAGAAGCATTATTGTGGTTTACACCAAAATGCCCATGACTGTTGTGTAAATAAGCTACTTGTTCAACCTCGACTTCCAAAGGATTTTTACTTTAAAAGAGTGTCATAAAGTCTGTTGTGTTTTACATAAGGTAAAATACATTCAGTGGGAGTTTAACCTTCATTCTCTTGCCTGAGACACATGCACATTAAGAGAAACATTGCTCCCCTATGTGTAAATAATTTAATTATAGTTAGATTCACAGAGCTTGACTTGTTACTAGCATTGCATAAACTTAAAGTTCTTCTTCTCCTAGTTTATTGATTTGTTAGTTTGTTTTTGAGACAGTCTTGCTCTGTCTCCCAGGCTGGAGTGTAGTGGCACAATCTCAGCTCACTACAACCTCTGCTTTCTGGGTTCAAGTGATTCTCCTGCCTCAGCCTCCTGAGTAGCTGGAATTACAGGTGCTTGCCACAACGCTTAGCTAGTTTTTGTATTTTTAGTAGAGACAGGGTTTCACCGTGTTGGCCAGGCTGGTCTTGAACTCCTTATCTCAGGTAATCCGCCTGCCTCGGCCTCCCCAAGTGCTGGAATTACAGACATGAGCCACCGTGCCTGGCCCCTCTCCTAGTTTTGTAAGAGCTTGTGATATTAACTGTGGAGCAAATGTCATGTTTTACTGATGTACATCAGTGTAAGTTAACATCTTTTATATTGTTAGTTTGGAAACTTGGTGTTTGAAACTGGTATAAACCAAAGCCCCATGCTAATTAATTGATATTTTGAATGTAAAAGCTGTTTCTTGTTTTTACATTGGCACTTTTCACCTTGATTTTTGAGATACTTTATTAGATAAAACATCCATGCTTTGTCCATCATGGGTGGCCATTGTGACTTCTTGTTTTTTTTGTTTGTCTGATCCTGTTAATTAGAAAGTGAGGAGAGGATGATTATATTCCTTCATTCTCTCTGTGTCTTAGTACTCCTTACCTTTGTGTTACGTTATGACCTACCTTTGCTATCTGCCAGTTTTGGGGACAGCTTAAGTGAGAATTCATATTCTGCTTCGCTGGAATGAGAGGGCTCTCCTCACATATTATCATGCTTCTCAGGCCAACCTGCTTATGTAGAGTGTATATGTGTAGGAAGTCGCAGATACCATTTGAGCCAGCTATGGAAGGTGACAGTTTTGATTGCAGGGCACATGTTTTTATTCTAATCAATGAAAAATGCAAAATTCATATCACTGTTTTAGTCGTGGGTCCTCTCATTTCTCTGTGTTAATTCAGTCCACTGCCTTTAGTGTTCCCTGAGATTGACTCACAAACTTTAGCATTTTGATCCTTACCTTGCTTCCAAGACAGCTGCTAGAGAAATCCTGGAACCCCTCAAGAATTTCAGCAGTGTTCTAGAAATAAAGATGAAGAAAATAAGAGGAAAGCATGGACAACGTTGGATAGACTTTACAAAGGGAAGGCTGCTCTGAATATATGCCCTAGTTTTAGATTTAAGTTAAAGATATAATTTAAAAGCATACATATAATCTAAAAGGATCATGCATTATTTGACCAGCTGTTAGAATTAAAAATGAATCTATATATCCTAATACCCTCTTCAGTAAGGGTATAGATTTGTAATTGAGTCACTTAGGTATGGGTTGTGTTTATGTGTCACTTCTCTTGTGACCATGGTAACTTGAATGAGGATGCACTGTAAAGTGTAAAGGCCCCCTCGCTGGCCTTTATGTATTATAATATCGATGGCTTGCCCATTTCATTTTCCAAGCGCTTTATAAACTATTCTTGATTCTCTCAGGATTGTCCTTGTTTCACAAGTAGGGAAATCAAGACATTATCGCATACAATGATGAAGTGAGCAACTGAATATGTCTGGGCTGGTTCCTAGGCCTGTGCTTGGAACACAGGCCTTTATGGTGCTCCTGTAAGCTGTTTGGCTAATGGGGGCTCACATAAATGCTTTATCATTTCATAGTAAGGTTTTGTGCTTCCATGTGAGCTTACACCCAAGGATCCCAATGGGCCCTACATTTAAAGAAGGTGGCCACAGCCCCAGCAGGGAGAGTATGGGTGTAAATTGTGCAGGTGGCAGTTAATTGAAGTAGCATATTTCTACCTTGAAGTTAACTGTATAATAATCTAAAAAGAAACTTTGTTTATGGTCACTTTTCTTTTCCTAGTTTTTTAGTTTAAGGCATTCTTGTTCATTCTCTCCTGAGCAGTTGTTTTTGCCTTTGATAATTGCTGGCTTTTACCCTTTCTTTTTCTGAAGCCTTCATGCTCCATTTAAGAGCTTGTGGAAACCTGTGGTTCAATCGACAATCTGTAAAGCTCTGCTCTTCTAGCAGAAGCTGGTGACTTCAGAACTTTTTGAGTGGTCTCTTTTGAAGAAACTCCTGTCTAGTGGAAATATGGTGGAATGTATTAAAATTGTAAATTGGAATTATAAATTTAGGTAGACAGAATCCTTGCTCTTGTGAGCTGAGACTGGGAGTATCCAAATGCAAAAAGTGCCCAGATTCCTGCTTCAAAATTAGTTACATTTAAAAACAGCAACAAGAGGCCAGTCTCAGTG